GAACATGGAACCACCTCTTAATTGCTGATGTTCCCAGGTCCATCCTGACCTGGGCTGGTAGCACCTGTTAGGGTCCCAGCTATGGGCAAATAGTTAACTATTACCGGCAATACTTTTTTGAAAAAATTTATTACCAGCAATACAATTTTGAACAAAAGATATTTCCAGAAAAAGATTTTTGACAAAACAAAATATTAGCAGCAATAAAAAATTTTGTCTGCATTAAATAACCCATTGAGGTTGATATGCCATAAAACAAAATAAACCAAACCAATCTAAACCAAAGAATACATATTTTATTCATACGAATCTATCCTAAAAATGTTGTCAGCATTAAATAAAGCATTGAGGTTGTTATGCCGTAAAACAAAATAAACCAAACCAATCTAAACCAAAGAATACATATTCTATTCATACGAATCTATCCTATAAATGTTGTCGGCATTAAATAACCCATTGAGGTTGATATGCCTTATAACAAAATAAACCAAACCAATCTAAACCAAAGAATACATACTCTATTCATACGAATCTATCCTAAAAATGTTGTCAGCATTAAATAACCTATTGATGTTGATATGCCGTAAAACAAAATGAACCAAAATCTAAACCAAAAGAATACATATTCTATTCATATCTATCCTATAAATGTTGTCAAAGAATGCCTTATAACAAAATAAACCAAACCAATCTAAACCAAAGAATACATATTATTCATACGAATCCTAAAAATGTTGTCCTTAAAAACCTGTTGATATGCAGCCAAAATGAACCAAATCAATTGAACCAAAGAATACATATTCTATTCATAAATCTATCCTAAAAATGTTGTCAAAATAACCCATTGATTGATATGCCATAAAACAAAATATACCAAACCAATCTAAACCAAAGAATACATATTCTATTCATACAAATCTATCCTAAAAATGTTGTCAGCATTAAATAACCCATTGAGGTTGATATGCCATAAAACAAAATATACCAAACCAATCTAAACCAAAGAATACATATTCTATTCATACAAATCTATCCTAAAAATGTTGTCAACATTAAATAACCCATTGAGGTTGATATGCCATAAAACAAAATATATTCCAATCTAAACCAAAGAATACATATTCTATTCATACAAATCTATCCTAAAAATGTTGTCGGCATTAAATAACCCATTGAGGTTGATATGCCTTAAAAACAAAATAAACAAAACCAATCTAAACCAAAGAATACATCTTCTATTCATAGGAATCTATCCTAAAAATGTTGTCAAAAATTGAGGTTGATATGCCCGAAACAAAATAACCAAACCAATCTAAACCAAAGAATACATATTCTATTCATAGGAATCTATCCTAAAAATGTTAATCGGCATTAAATAACCCACTGAGGTTGATATGCATCAAAATAAACCAAACCAATCTAAAACAAAGAATACATATTCTATTCAGAGGAATCTATCCTAAAAATGTTGTCGGCATTAAATAACCCATTGAGGTTGTTATGCCGTAAAACAAAATAAACCAAACCAATCTAAACCAAAATACATATTCTATTCAAATCCCAAAAATGTTACATTTAATAACCCATTGAGTTGATTCAAAATAAACAAAACCAATCTAAACCAAAAAATAAATATTCTATTCATACGAATCTATCCTAAAAATATTAAATAAACCATTGAGGTTGTTATGCCATAAAACAAAATAAACCAAAACCAATCTAAACCAAAGAATACATATTCTATTCATACAAATCTATCCTAAAAATGTTGTCGGCATTAAATAACCCATTGAGGTTGATATGCCTTATAACAAAATAAACCAAACCAATCTAAACCAAAGAATACATACTCTATTCATACGAATCTATCCTAAAAATGTTGTCAGCATTAAATAACCCATTGAGGTTGATATGCCATAAAACAAAATATACCAAACCAATCTAAACCAAAGAATACATATTCTATTCATACAAATCTATCCTAAAAATGTTGTCAGCATTAAATAACCCATTGAGGTTGATATGCCGTATAACAAAATATACCAAACCAATCTAAACCAAAGAATACATATTCTATTCATACAAATCTATCCTAAAAATGTTGTCGGCATTAAATAACCCATCTTGATATTCATAAAAACAGAATAAACAAACAAATCTAAACCAAAAGAATACATATTCTATTCCAAATCTATCCTAAAATGTTGTCAGCATTAAATAACCCATTGAGGTTGATATGCCATAAAACAAAATATACCAAACCAATCTAAACCAAAGAATACATATTCTATTCATACAAATCTATCCTAAAAAATGTTGTCGGCATTAAATAACCCATTGAGGTTGATATGCCGTAAAACAAAATAAACCAAACCAATCTAAACCAAAGAATACATCTTCTATTCATAGAATCTATCCTAAAAATGTTGTATTAAATAAACCATTGAGGTTGTTAATAAACCAAACCAATCTAAACCAAAAGAATACATATTCTATTCATACGAATCTATCCTGAAAATGTTGTCGGCATTAAATAACCCACTGAGGTTGATATGCCGTAAAACAAAATAAACCAAACCAATCTAAACCAAAGAATACATATTCTATTCAGAGGAATCTATCCTAAAAATGTTGTCGGCATTAAATAACCCATTGAGGTTGTTATGCCGTAAAACAAAATAAACCAAACCAATCTAAACCAAAGAATACATATTCTATTCATACGAATCTATCCCAAAAATGTTGTCGGCATTTAATAACCCATTGAGTTGATATGCCGTAAAACAAAATAAACGAAACCAATCTAAACCAAAAAATACATATTCTATTCATATGAATCTATCCTGAAAATGTTGTCGGCATTAAATAAACCATTGAGGTTGATATGCTATAAAGTAAAATAAACCAAACCAAACCTTGTGTCTTAGTGGCATTATCACCTTGCTTAAGATGAAATGATATGGGAGAAAAAAGTTTCTGATATGCATCTAGAGGTTCTTGACAACATCCAAAGAATAATCTGCAATATCATCAATCTTGACCTGGCATCTCGGCTTCACTCACTCTCTCTCACAATCATAACATAGCTTCCCGGTACCTTTTTTTTAAATATTTTTATGGTAACTATTCTGATGAGCTTTCCATTTTGCTACCTTAACTTCACAAATTTAAGTGCAGTAAGAGATTAATATTATAAGACTTAGCTCCCAATGTTGAAATGGCTAATAGACATAACTGTAAGTTCTATGCTGATAGTTTCTTCTTTCACACTTCCTATCAGTGGAATTCTTTTTTTGGCTTTTTACTTTCCTGTCAACTATGATCAAAATTCAAATGCAACATTAATTGTCATCTTAAATCTTCTTGAATCATGTTCTTTTTTTTGTTTGCTCTTCTCAATGTTTTTCTCAGATTTTTTCACTGTCAATAACCCCTTATATCTTATTGGCTCGGGGTGAAATAAAAAATGAAAGACAACGCAACCCACTCTTGCTTTAAAGATGTTATAAACAACTAACCAACAATCTTCTTCATTCTTGTACATGCTAACCCATTTTTAAAAACGTACCTGTACAACAATAAATTAAGAATAAAAATTGAATAAGCCACATTGCAGAAATACAAGTTCAGCATTGATTTTAAAACCATCTCTTAATTAGAGACACAATGATGAGCAAGCAGTTTGAATAACTCAGCAAAATATTGTAGTAAACAAAAAAGAAAAAAGTGGTGATGGGGGGGGCATAAAGTGCAGTGCGCCATTTGCCGGCAGACCAGTCGTGCTGCTGACTCCTCGCTTTTTATGCCAGTCTGATACGGCCGAAATTTGCATGTATGCAAATATCGTCTCGTTTTGGACGAGATCAGCACACATAAATTGTGTCTTCGATAGTGGCCAGATTTCTTTTCCTCATTACTTTGCAGGCAAGACACGTTCGCACTCATTTTGAACTCTGAGGTAAGTCATGTCTTTCATCACAAATATTACTATGACCCACCAGTGGGGTATGGTAATATTTTGGTGGGGCATGTGAAGGATGTAGACCCTTTGGCTTATTATTTCAACAGAGTAAGGGGACAATTCGAAAATGAATCATTAACAGTGGATTGTTTTCTAGTGAGCTCAAATTTCATTTTGCATTATTATTTCATGATTAAAATGATCAAAGTATATTACAGAATAACATTTCATTCAAATATTTTATATTTCTACCTTTCAGTTCTCTATTATATGTTTTGAAACTATATATATTTAACTGTCTTTTTGGGTTTTTTCAATTTTTCTCTTTTATGGATGCCATGGTCTTTGGAGGCTTGTTTAGAGAACAAGTTAATGGCCTTTTAAGCTTCCTTTAGATGAATGGCAGTAAAATTTTGAATATGTAAGAATAAAATATTACAGGGAGGCACCAGAATTTTAGAAATGCCAAAGTGGGTGGATGGGGGGGGCATGGCCCAAAATTGGTTGGGAGCAACTGGTTCACACTGATGTGATTAATTCAACTCCTTTAGCATAAACATTTATTGACATGAGTAATTTGGTTAACAAACTTTCCCAGTCTTTTGAACAGGGCTGGAGATTTATTCCTTGACTCTAGTTTAGGATTGGGTTTCTGGTTCTGTCTAAAGTCTTCTCATTCTCTTTCACTCCCAGTAGCCCTTTGCATCTTAGTGGCATTATTACCTTGCTTGAGGTGAACTGATTTTAAAAAGAGGTCAATGATTCTTATTTATATTATTTACATTTAGTCTAATGTCCTCATCTTTGTTTTTATCATTGCAACTTTTCAGCCATTGTACCCTCTAGCCATCTTCAGTAAATAAAGTAAATAATGATTATCCCACATACCATTCAGAAGTGTATTACTGAATTGTTATTAAACAATCTCTATTAGTCTGGCAGAAGGATTAATCCAACACAGTTCTGGATCAAAGAGAGCTGGAAAAAAAAAAAGTAATCAATGGTGTACCAGTGCATTTTTCTTTTCTTTTCAACTTACCATTATCAGAATGATAACAATGTACTGAGCTGGTGATGATTCTGTGTTTGGTAAAGCCGCCAATCACATAAATGTCATTGTCCATCACACAGACAGCATGGTGACGTCGTGGCTCCAAAAGAGAAGCCTTCATTGTCCATTTTCGCCTCAGCATATTGTAAGACCAAGTATTCATCTGCCATTTGTTGCTTCCAAGCTTAGCCTCACCCCCCAGCACATAGATTTCAACCCCTGAAAGAGAAAACAAAAACAAAAGGTTTATGTTCAAAATTGTTGTAACCTATGGAAAGTTACTGAATAGAATAATCAAACAAAAGTTGGTAAGGAACAATAATACTTAAGACAAGAACAACACATATAAGATTTGTCAACAGTGCATAGAAAAAGTAGTACATAATGAATCTCCAACTGCAGGATATCTACTAACTGCCCCACACGGTCAGATGTGGCACAGGGCTGAATTTCATGCGGGGTATCCGAGCCCATAGGCTCGTCCAAAAATTCCCCGTAGACCCTGTATAAAATGGGGCCAGGTAACCGTTTCCTGAGACGAGACTCTGCCCTTTGACATAGCCTCATCTGGGAATCCTCTATGCCTGAAGGCTGAGAGTTTGCCCAGCACAGCTGGAGACAAATCTCTTACTCTAAACCAACATACAGTATTTACTACTGTATTTGTATGAATGGGGACATACCTACAGATGATAATGGGTATGTTATAACAAAAATAACAAAGAAAAAATAAACATACATTATTTCTTCAGTAGTGTAAAAAAAAAAAATCTAAGCAAATATAACTGATGAATACTGGAGTGCACAACAGCTGAAACCTTGCAATAACAACACCAAAGATGAAGACAATAGTTTGCAAGTAAATAATAACTCCTCATCCCAGAAATTCAAACAAAAATTCTTCAGTAACACAGGTTGCAGCAGAAATAACTCCCACATTTTAAACTGTCATCTGGTTGGTGCTAATGAACTTAGGTAAGTGACAATGGTGTCTTCATTGAACTAATGTCTTACCATTTATTTTTCTGATAAAATCAGTTACTATTATGGCTTACACCAGTACAGACAGTGCATTTACTGCTGAAATGTTTTTATTTAAGACTGGTGAATCTGTAATTGAAACAAAGAGATATTTTCGTGCTCATTTCATACTACATCAGAATGATGCTGTTTCGGATAGAAAACGCGATACAGATATGGGTTGAAAATGTCATGGCCACAGGTTCACTGCTTAAAAGAAAGCCAACTGGAAGACATTGAAGCCCTCGAACTTCAGGGTGATGGAAAACTTTAGAAATCGTCTACAGCAGTGTATGGTGAATAGAGGTTACCCTTAGGAGGATGTCATCTTTAAAATGAAATGAATAAAAATTTCAGCCCTTTGTTTAAAATACCATTAAAATAAATTTTTACTAGTAGTTACCTTGGTCTTTTTTTGTCTACCTTTCAAATGTGGGAGGTATTTTTGCCACACCCTGTATATAAAATAAAATCTAAGCAAATATAGCAGGCATATAATATGGCATCGTGTAACAGAAAAGGGAAATTTGGGCATATAATTTAAAAACAAGCTTCTTTATACATAAAAGCAAGATGGCTGTCCGTTAGCAGTCGAGTATAGCCAGATATGTATTGCTTACATAACGACCATAGAATGACAACCTGAGAATAGCAACTGAAATAAAATAATATTTATAAAATTGGACAATAATTCATCTCAGATACTCGGATAAATTAATATTATTACTGAATACTCCATTTCTTTAAATAAGCACCCCTGCCCTGCATCAAAAAGTAATTTTTAAGTAAGTGTCTCTCCTCGGAATAGGAAAATCTGTGTTTTTAATTTTAAATATTAGGAATCATATTTTTTTTCATTTTAAAAAAAAAAAACAACAGCTAAATTAATTGATAGTGAATAGCAATACTAATATGTCCGGGAAAGAGATATAATTGTTCGAAGTAGCAAAGTCGTTTTGGACTACTGTAACCATGTAGGACAATGTAGCAGGTAACCGTAATGGACTGGTCCTCGTCGTAGTGGTAGGCAATAGGCAATAAGCGAAGACAATAGGCATCATCCCTGTACCTCCACATCAGTCTGTATTTATGTCTGACACCAGCCAATCATATTACTGTGAGGGGGAACCCAGGTGTATGCATATTCATTATATCAAATACCCTTTCTCATTTTTCAGATAACTTTCTTGTCAATTTTATTTCAAATTCGAAATAAAAGAAGAGAAATCACACCACTTCATTTGTTTAATTTATTCCAATTCTCCACAAAATAAAATGACAACTAAAACTTTGTTTGTATTTTTTAAAAATTGATTCCAATCCTTGTTGGAATGACTGCAAAAACATCCCCCTCCCCAAATTTATAGACAAATCCTACAGATGCATGCTGGGATTTCATCCTAGCCAATAAGATAGGCCACTTTTCGGTCTCATCTACCATGTTTCTATTCTTTCTTGTCATGAAGTCAGGAAGACGTGATCACTTGTCTATATCTCTTTTGTGTGTTAACGCCATTCTTACTTTGTGAACATTTGCTCTCATTACTGTAGCTGTCTATTTTTTCTTCCAAATATCATTTGCTTAATACTATTTTTGCCCTGTCCTTTTCTTTTGTTATTCTTTATTGCAAACTTTGTCAATTCTGTTTGCCGGGCATTTCTGCCAATTACATTTAACCATGGCCAATTACTCTATGCAGTGGGTTATTTTATTCCAATTTTCCATGAAATAAAGTGAAAATTGAAACTCTCTCATTTGTATTCTTCTTCAAAAAAAAAATTCATGCTCTTCGCAACATGAATTTTACTTGGCCTAAAATTGCATATCTTCAAAGAAAAAATGATGCCTAAGATTTAAAATTAATTTTTAAAAATGAAAAATTTTTCTTGATGTTTTTATTTCAATTTCAATTTCAAGTTAATAGATGAAATTTAATATTTCCAATAAACACAATACATTGCTCTATTTCAAAACTAATTTAAAATTAACTTAAATTGACTGAAAGGAGTTGTTTTTTGTTTTTGTTTTTTTTTTGCTAAAATAACTGATTAGCACCATTTTAGCTATCATAATATAATTCCTTCATTAAAAAAAATCTTTCAAAAATAAATTTGAGGAATATTAGCCAATTAAATTTTAATTAATCTGATTTGAAACAAATATTATTTACTTTAAATTTAAAATATTGCAGTAGCTGTTTATTTAAGGGCTTGATGTTTTTTGGCAGCTTCATGATAGAAGGATGTTATCTAATGTTTTTCTACGGTGGCTATATCTACAAAAAAAATTTGAAGGCTATAACAGGAGTGCCATTTTTACATAATTTTTAAGTACACAGTAATCTTAAAAATTTAGGAAAATCTTCTCCATTATGTAAAGTTATATTGAATTTTAAATACATTGACTTTAAATTTGCTATGGTTATCGCTCTTATTTTCTGATAATGAACACCCATATCTACAAAAAGCAGCACATTTATACACAACAAAAAAATTCAAAATTCTTTTAAAAATATTAGTGTTTGATTTTTACTAAGCTTTACCATTTGATTGTAAATATACTTTTTTACTAAGCTTTACCATTTGATTGTAAATATAGTTTTTACTTAACAATATGACCTCATGGGGGCAAAATTATGCAGAAATTTAAAAGATTTGAAACTTTATAAATTATTCTAATTAATATTTAAAACACATGAAAACAATTCTTGTAAAAATTCATAAAAAAATTTTTATGACAATAGTGTTTTTAATATATCTTATTCATAAAAGCAATTAAAAGTGTTTCTAATTAAATACTATCTTAGTTTTATTGCATTTATTTTTCAATTCAGAGCAGACTTTCAGTAACTGAGGTTTATGTTTTACAAAAGACAAAGTTGATTTAATTTCTCCAAGGAGATCTGCTTTTAACTGATATAAAAATTAAGAGGGTCAAAATTTAATTTCTTGAAATTCCTTAAATTAAATAAGTGGTAGGTAACAAGTATACAAAAAGGAAACATATTTTTACCAAGGTTTTTTTTTTAAAAAAAAAATAAATAAATAAAATAACCCCTGAAAGTTTCTTTAAAATTTGACAAATATTTGATTTTTACAAGAATTTCCAAATCAATGTACTTTTTCATTGCAAAAAAGACGTTAAACTAATCTTTGGTCTCCCCCCCCCAAAAAAAAATAAGATATTTAAACAAAATTTTGAACATGCTAAAAAGGGATTTAAAAATATCATTAAATAATCAAAAAAATACTTTGGTCTTTCCTGTTAATAATGTAGAATTAGATTTCTACATTCTCCATTTTAAACCTGTTAAAAGAGGATCACAGCTAAGTATTCTCTGTTTGTGCTGAACCAATTAAAATCGGCTCCAGAGTTCAGCATGAAACAATGCTTTCTGATTGGTCCATAAATAATAACGCCATGTTTCTGCCTATGTCCATACGGTTGACCTTGAATTGACCCATTCAACGTTCAACACACCAAAAAAAATGTAAATGGTATCAAGCTCCCACATGATCAAGAAAAATCATAAATATGAAACTTCGACACGACTTTGAGTCCTTAAAATAATCAACTCATCACACAAATCCATGAAACCCAACTTCCTCGCTAAAAGTTAATTTTTATTAATATCAACCCAGCTTGTGGCATTCAATTTCTTTTCAATATCAACTCATCTAGTGACCAATTCGACGAAGACGAGATTCATAAACCAACTCACTCAATATCTTAACAACATAAAGGAAATTGTATCTATATTAGTAGAAGCGAGACAACTCTACAGTAAGTCAAGCAATGTATTTCATTCTCTTTCATCATCAATATAGACTGTTTAATTCCTTACCAGATCTATAGCATAATACCTTTTATATTACCTTGATCACACAAGCAAGAACTCTAAAGTATTTTAAACCACTTTATTATATCATGTGTACTTGTTGTTATATAAAAATATTTTCTGTTAAAACAAATATCTGCCTATTTAATTATTTCTCTTGTTGTTGTTGTCTTTGTTGCATTTGATTTAGTAAAAAATAGCAGGGGGTCAGTTTAATTTGTATTTTGTCACTGATACAGATTGGCTAACACACTGCGTCACTACGATAATAACAAAAGATTTTACGATAAAATTTTGTTTTTATCAAGTTTGGAGCATTTTTTCATCATGGTATGATCTTTTTTCAGATAATTAGTAGAG